AGCTTCTGGAAGTTGGCAATCCAACCAGAGGGTGGGAAAGAAGACCAACACAGATCATGACTGAAGTTCAGCAGAAGAAATATTTGTTCTGGTTGAAAACAAACCTCAAGGAGGAAAACAACTACTACGATGTACATTCACAAAAGATAAATAGCAATAGCTCTCATTAAGAAATTATTTTTAGGATACTGGAAGCTGGTCCATCAAATGAAGTCACAACGGGTTCATTTTATCTTTGCTATGTCAAGTGCAATTCCCAAAAACGTTTAAATTACCCTTTAAATACATTCTTTGAGAAAAATAACCTCAAGCAAGCATTATTTTGAATCTTAATTAATACATTTAGTATGATTTTTACAATTTCCACACATTGTTAAATCATAATTTTAAACTGGAATAAATAAAAAATGAACACAAGAATTAAAAATGATCAAATCATATATATGTGCTCACATTAAAACAGCAGCTAGAGTTTTGACACAAACATTTACACATATTATCCTCATTTTGATGTAAAATTGATGTATATATCAGGGTAGAAGAGTGATGGATTTGATTAAGTTGTTAATAAATTAATGTCTTTCATCAAAAAAATGCATTATTTTAATAAAAATAGCAAAAAATAGATTTGCACTTTTTTCAACCACGCACCATTAAAGACAAAGGCAATAATCTTTTGGCCTGTGTAGTGGTAGTAGTAGTAGTAGTAGTAGTAGTAGTAGTAGTAGTAGTGTGTGTTTATCTGTAGCGTCTACACACTGAGAAATATCTTTGCTTTAAACATTGATATCAACTATCGTCCATCCATCCATTATCTTTACCTGCTTATTCCATTTTGGGTCACGGGGGTCGCCCATGTCCAGCAATCACTGTGCAAAGGGCGGGGTACACCCTAGACGGGTCTCCAGTCCATCACAGGGACACATAGAGACAAACGAGACAAACAACCATTCACTCTCTCACTCACACCTAGGGACAATTTAGAGTTACCAATCAGCCTAACATGCATGTTTTTGGTCTGTGGGAGGAAACCGGAGTACCTGGAGAAAACCCACGCATGCACGGAGAGAACATGCAAACTCCACCCAGAAAGGCCCCTGGACCGGGGTTTGAACCATGGACCTGCTCGCTGAGAGGCAGCAGCTCTACCAGTTGCGCCACCGTGCTGCCCTCAACTATTGTCATCAAACTTAAAATAAGTAGCTCAAGAATCCCTGAACAATCTAGAAAATCTCTTGAAATGTAATCATTAAATGTACAACTAGAATTAATTAATGTTTCAATTTCAAGACAACTACCACAGCTAACTGACTTTAGTAAAAAGGAAAGTAGTTATAACTTTGTAAATTTTACAAATATTAAATAATTTTTTTGTGGTATGTAGCTGAGAGTTATTCTCAAAATGTTTTCAGCTCTAACAAATTTTATCAAGCTCTTGCAATATTGCATGAAATTGTGCATGTGGTCCTTTACAGTTTTGACAAAATATTGTAACTATACTGACCTATGACCTATACAGTAACTTTGCTGACCTATATTATAAATATACTGACCTATACAGTAACTTTGCTGACCTAAATTATAAATATACTGACCTATACAGTAACTTTGCTGACATATACAGTAACTATACTGACCTATACATTAACTTTGCTGACCTACACTGTAACTAAACTGACT